TATATATATATGCCAGATAAATTTGCTTAAAAAGACTTTATTTGTTCTGAACTTCCCATAACTTCATGGGCTTTTATAAAAAAAATACAGACTGTGTCTTTAAATATAAGCAGTTAACTTGAACTGCAACAGTTTCTCTGAATGGACACCTTTCTGTGCTAAATACCAACTTTATTGTCATAAAATAAAAACACTAAAGTCTATAAAGTGTTCATCAATCAGCTTTTTTTACGTCACTGTTCTGTAAAGTCTACATTTTCCTGACACGGGGCACTAGCTTGCCGCCGCGGAGGAATACTTCATGTGTAAAGAAGCCTTGGTTTGACGCTGGAGAATTTGCGGTRGCTGGCATGTACCGGTGCTTCTGATTGGCCACTGCGGACCTGCAATATTATACTCTATGTGTCGGCTGCGTCCATTGGCTACACGAGACCTGCATTGCACCAGGCAGTAGCGCTTGATGGAAACGTAATAAATATAAATACGTGAATCTTAAAAAGCGGCGCAGCTTTTTCACTTCGCTCCGTTTTTAGTACCCCAGGATAAGTTATGGCCTCTAATTATTAGTTTTCTGGAGAGGGACGGAAATGCGACAGGTCTTCACGGGCAAATGTTTGATAGGCTCGATATGGGAAGTGCGCACCTTCACCATTGGCTACTACAAGTGAAGCCAACTACAAAGCAGGGCAGGGTTTACTGCTAGTTCACTCTCCATGTACACAACACAAGTGTGTCTACATTCAGCTAAAACCTCACTGAGTCACATAACTGTAAGAAAAAGTGCTCCCGGATTAGTTAGAATGACGAGGCGAAAATTTGGCAAAGTAATGCCACCAGCCTGCTTCATTGTCCCTGACTGAAGCACCACCCAGTGGACAAGATGGATAAAAAAATAAGGGTTACAGCAGCAACACAAACCATATTTATTGAAATTTCTGAAGTTATTTAAAGTAGAAACAAGCAGCTGAACATGTTTTTTGTAGATCCCACCTCAGGAAAGAAGACATTGCATTGGTAAAGCACACACAAATCTTTATAAAATTTATTTTATTGATCTTTTCTGCAACTCAACTCCAGTTGTTGGTTTACCAATGTCTTTCCTCAGTCCACAACTCACCAGGCCCTAATGGCACATCCTACAGGAGAATGGTCCTCCTCGCTCATAGATGTAAGGAAAAACTGTGCCATACAAGAACTCTGAATTTACTGGGTATTGTATCCTCACACTGTAGTGTTAAAACAAGTTTCAATTTCACCTTTAAATTTATATTTTTTCTTCCGTATCAGTATTCTGTAATGAATTGTGGTCTAGACATTCTTACTTTCAGTTTGTTGAAACACACTAAACAGTGCAGTCATTCTGACCTTTGGCAACATTGCACTTTGAGAAGATTTTGCTATCACAACATATACTGTATAATACCAATAAAACTAATTTACTGCTGTTTGTAAAAGTCAATAGAAAACTAGGTGTAAAGAACCAAAGAACTAGACCTGAACACCAACCTTGAATACTGGAAATACCTTTGATTTGGGCACATGGTGCACATTAATTTAGTCAACACACAATCCGATGGAAGGAGCTGACGGATTGTAGACAGGCACGGGAACTGATAAACAGCCCAAATCATGGATTTGGAAAATCCCTTCTTGCCTTGACAAGGAATACTTTAAGTACACTAGTTGGAGTCCTAACTGGGCACAATCTGCTCAACCGCCATAAAATGGTGATGGTACTCCAAGACAATGGTCTGTGTGATGCCTGCGGCATTGAATCAGAGACCTCTTTGCACTACTTAGGCCAATGCTTGGCTCTGAGTAGTCTAAGGGAAAGAATTCTTGGAGACCCCTTTGTGGATCCCGAGAAGCTTAGAACACTGAGGGTTTCTAACCTVGTGTCCTTCATCTGAGGGACAAAAAGGTTTGATTAAAGCCCAGTATCTTTTGGGGAGAGCAATGGGCCCACTTATGAGGCCCCCGCTCACCTGGGTTGTACCCATCCCCAATTACCATTACCATTACCATTACTTTCAGTTTGTTGAAACATACTTAGTCTAAACAGTGCAGTCATTCTGACCTTTGGCAACATTGCACTTTGAGAAGATTTCGCTATCACAACATATATAATACCAATAAAACTAATTTACTGCTGTATGTAAAAGTCAATAGAAAACTAGGTGTAAAGAACCAAAGAACTAGACCTGAACACCAACATTGAATACTGGAAATACCTTTGATTTGGGCACATGGTGCACATTAGAAACTAAAAAGGTCAATAATTGTTTGTGAGGAATAGGTGGGACTTATATAGCCCACATCCCTCGTGTGCAGACTCTGGTCCCATAAATGCATCATGGCAGCTCCCATAAACTGGGTCCTGCTGGCTTCAGTTCCCAACCCGAAGAGACAGGTACACTTGGTCTAGTTGCATCCTTACATATACTATATTGCCAAAAGTATTTGCTCACTTGCCTTGGCTCACAAATGAGCTTAAGTGACATCCCATTGCAAATCCATAAGGTTCAATGTCCTGATGCATCTCAGTAATCCAGGTAAAAAATCAAAAAGAAAAAAATTGTATAGGTCTTCTGGACGGGTTCTTCTCTAATGAAACGTTTCGTCTCTCCTCCAAGAGACTTCTTCAGTCTGAGAGTTTCAGGAAAAATTCAGGCTTTTAAGCACTGCTTCCATGTGACTGATACTCACATCACATGGCTATCGTTGACACCTAATTAACACCTATTGTTAACAGGGGGTGGAGTGATACTGGCTATAGCAGCACTGTAGGAGGGGGACAACTGAAAACGGAGGCCTCCACCTCTGTTTAATGATGGACGGTCTTTCTTCACAAAAATGGCTTCTTTTACTCCTCTCTCAAACCAACGTTCCTCTCTATCAAGAATGAGAACATCCTCATCTCTGAAAGAGTGACCGCTGGCCTGTAAATGAGTGAAAACTGCAGAGTTCTGGCCATTAGATGTAGCTCGTCTGTGTTGGGACATTATTTTGAACAGTGCATGCTTTGTTTCCCCGATGTATAACTGGTCGCAGTCCTCCTGGCGCTTAACAGCATATACAATATCGCTCTGTTTGTGCYGGGGCACCGGATCCTTGGGGTGAACCAGCCTTTGCCGTAATGTGTTTTGGGGTTTGAAAGCCACTGGGACATCATGTTTAGAAAATAAACGTCTCAGTTTCTCCGAAACACCCGCAACATACGGAATAACCACTGGTTTGGGTCTGGGTTTGGGGTCTTCATAGGGTTCAATATGATGTTGGTCCATCCTTTGCAGCTAGAACAGCTTCAACTCTTCTGGGAAGGCTGTCCACAAGGTCTAGGAGTGTTTATGGGGATTTTTGACCATTTTTCCAGAAGTGCATTTGTGAGGTCACATACTGATGTTGGACGAGAAGGCTTGGCTCTCCGCTCTATCAGGTTGAGGTCAGGACTCTATGCAGGCCAGTCAAGTTCATCCACACCATACTCTGCCATCCATGTTTTTATGGACCTTGCTTTGTGCACTGGTGCAGCCATTTCGATGGGTGAGCAAATACTTTTGGAAATATAGTGTATTAATAATGGTTCTATGTAATTAGAACTTCATGGGTAAGGACCAAACCACCAGGTACTCGCCGCCGCCAAGCCTCTACAGGCCTGTGTCCAGGGTGAGGCTTTGATAACCCTCGTCTGGGTGAGGTGTGGTTTCTCAGCCTCATAGGGTTATTTAATCAAGCTTTCATTTAACCCGTCGCACTAAAGCAAATTGCCGTTAGGACGCTGCTAGGGGCAAAACTGTCCTCAATAACATACACACATCGAATTCAGGTTTCAGTCAAGGTTAGACCTTTAAGTGATAGGCATCAGGATACCAATACATTTTGGATGTTATCCTTCCAATTATGAGGCAACGCTTTGGGGAATGGCCTTTTTTAATCTAGCATAACTGTTCCTCAGTGCACTAAACAAGGACTATGAAGACATGGTTTGATGAGTCTGTTGTCCTAGACTGTACCAATCTCTGGCCTCAACCCCATTAAGCACATTTRGCATGAACTAGAATGTACCAATGTGGCACACAGCTCATGTAGGGGTGGTTTATCCATATAATGCAACCTTTGGGATCCTTCAGAAGAAGGCTGATGGACAAATTTGCCACCACTAACCATAACCTCTTGCTGATTTTTTTTGTCCAGTTTAACAGAAAACACATTTTCACAGGCCAACATACATTGTCATGTAGATTTGCAAATTTAATACATTGTAGCAGCACAGATTTGGAAGCACAAGGTCAGGAGTTTCCAGGATCAAGGTTTTAATTCTTTTGACCAAATTTATCATTTAATACTGGTTTGATAATACAGTATATCTTAATGTAAAAGGACAATGTTTAATCAGGCTAAAAACAAAACTTTAAAAATGAAACTGGTGTGTGTCAAGACATTGTTACAACACCTATGTGTAAATGTGGACTTTATTGTTATATAATCAGAATGTGATTTAGAAATGCTTGACTTGGAGTTTGCCTTAAGCTGACAGGACAAACGCTCACCAGAACCCCTTGTTTGTTTTTCTTTTACCATCTACTGAATGTGCTGCAGCATCCGAGTTGCATTCGAAACATGTGACCGATTTCATAATACGAGCAGAGTTTTGGAGAAGATGAAGGTGCAGTAAAGCTCAGGCCCTAGAGTCGACCCTGTAAAGTGGTTCGCTGCTCGCTGCACGGGGGCCACTTTCTGCTGAGCACCGACTTCCACATCAAGAGGAATTAAATCAACACTGCCGTTCTCCACGTGTCAGACTGCAGCAAGGGCAACGTGGAAGCATTTACTTAACCTACTCATCCACTTTGTAGTAAATCCCTACGTGCACACAAATTCTGCAATATCCTCTTTTTTTTTTTGGAAGCAGCTTCTGGATTCATTATCTGATTGAAAAGCAACAAACAAGGTATTTAATTAATTTACATCTGTGCCATCATCAAGTTTGTGAACCATCTGAAACATTTCAAGCATTTTGTGATGGGATGGAAAGTTTTCTGGGTCTCTGAGCTTCCTGGTCACACGCACAACAGAAATTTGCATCAAATAATAATAATAATATGTGCATAAGGCAGCAGCACAGGAAGAAAACACCTAAGCCTGTTGCTGAGCTCAGTATGCAGAGATCAAACAGGAAATAGACGTCATTCATACATCAAACCGTTTTAAGTGAGGACTAACACACGACTCCTTGAGTTGGTTTTGTTTTTATTTACTACTTAAACACATAACGTAACAAGGGAGTAAGGGGTTAAGCCAGACATGCACAAAATATATCAAAACTCGTCCACGTGGTGAGAAATCAGTGAGGGCTTTATTAAGGAGGGGAGAGAAGTTTGCGGATCAGAGGTAAAGCCCCTCCGGTGTGCCCTCCTGCTTCTTGTACAGGACGTTCTCCTTGGACTTCTTGAAGTCTTCGTTGGTGACTTTCATGCGGCGCTCTCGCAGCGCCATGAGGCCTGCTTCTGTGCAGATGGCCTGGAGGGTGCAAGGAAGGGGATGAGGAGAGGAGGGGGGAGGGGAGGAAGGAAGAACAAGTGTCAGGCTTGAGCTGAGATTTATTAAATCTCCAAATAAAGAGAATAAAAATGTCCTGAACTAAAGAAAAAACGATCCTGGGAGCTCATCCTTTTCTCTCTACTTTCAACTAACTAGTTCTCACAAAGTCCTACAACTGAACCAGGAGCCGTCCATAAAAACAGCCTCAATTTCAGKGTTCCTACACATTTTCAACTGCAAAATTACAGACGTTTTAAAGACAAACATGTACAGATTTTTTATTCTGAAAGGTGAGCCACGCTTTTTGAGAAAAATTCTGCCAGTTTAAGTGACAAGTTTAAGGTTTAAATCACTTTAAAACAGAACGAATCTCATTTTGTGAAACTAAGCAGATCGGATGAAATGTATTTCTTAGTTTCTCACAAAGTGTTTAACAAAGTCCACTAAAATTAGAATCATGTTCCTCTTTTACGCTGCTTGTTTGAGCAAATGTTTCACAGAATAAAAAAAGGAAGTAAAATCTAGAAACAAATGTTTTTACCTATTTTCTCTTTTCCCCCACTGTACTTCAGACCCAGAAAAGACTAAAAGCGAAGTTTCTGCAGTTTTCAGTTTAAAAGTGCTTTTTCTACAGACCATAACACAAATACAAATGACCTTCTTTAAACAAGCCTTCATACAGCAGCCTGTAGAAAAGATGCAAGAGGAAATCGTCTGTCAATAATCGTGTTTTCTATCATCTGTTTTCTTATTTTAGTTTTCAAAAGTGTGCAGGAACCCTGCTCTCTGTCACACTCCACTAGAGGGCAGCARAGATGAATAAGAGATTCCAGAGAGTCAAACAGAACGATCGTTTACAAACTGTTAGATTTCTACAAATTAAAATCACGTCTCAGAAACAGATCAGAATACTTCAGAAAAAAGTACTACGTTCAGGCAGAGACAAAGTCTGAATACGTAAACTGGATTGTTGTAATTTTATCAAATACAACTTTTTTTAAATCAAGGCCTCTTATTACAGTTAAGAGTTTAGTCAACAGGAACAACATAAAGACCAACCAAAAGAAAAAAAAACACATTTGGAAACTTTTTCTTTAAAATCCAATAAAACTAAGAAGTTATTTTTATTTGATACAGGGGATTTTGTTTGACTTAAAGAAACTTTAATCACTTTTTTCCAATTTGCTCCTTTAAAAAAAGTGTCTAAATTAAAACTACAAATGCTTTGGTTCACACATTTTCAAAGAAAAATGTAAAGTTGCTCTTGCCTTGATGTCTGCTCCAGATAAGTCGTCTTTCGCCAAGATGAGGTCATCGAGGGTGACGTCGTCAGCTACCGTCATGCGGCTGGTGTGGATCTGGAAGATCCTTCGTTTGGTTTTCTCRTCCGGCAGAGGAAACTCAATCTTTCTATCGATTCTCCCTGAGGACGACAAACCCGAAGCTCAGATCTCTTTGTAGACTTTCAGACACAGAGGAAAGCACTGAAGGATGTCTGCCAGGATGTAAATAATCTGTGATTATGCAACAATGCAAGCTTTTTTACTGACATCATCAAAATACTATTTGTCCTTTTCTAAAAATGAACAAGAAAAAAATATTGTCAAGTACATTTATTGTCTTTAAAACAACGAGATTATAAATAAACTCTTCTGAAAGCAGAAAAAAAAACCTGACATTTCAATTTCCCCTGGCTGCCATGACTCAGCAGAATACAACCATTGCCCCCGAGTGCCAGACAGATTTACAGCACTGCAGACTTGCGAGCAGACGCAGAATCAGAGGCAGATCCAGGCCGAAGCAAAGACAACCGAACTCCAACTGACCGGGTCTGATGAGAGCTGGGTCCAGGGTTTCTATCCGATTGGTGGCCATGATGACTTTCACGTCCCCCCGGGAGTCGAAGCCGTCCAGCTGGTTGAGCAGCTCCAGCATGGTTCTCTGGATCTCCCTCTCGCCACCGGAGTTTGAGTCGTACCTGGATAAGAAAGGTGCTTTAAACTGTGCAGAATCTCATTTTCTTTATGGTTTCAGGGAATTTGTCGCAGAATAACAAACCCTAATACACAGAATGAGTCAYTTTAAACCAAATCTTACAGGTTTGGTAGATTTGACTTGGTTAACAAACAGAAGACAAACTGTAATTCTGTCCATCAGTCTGAAAATAACCCTGATAATTAAAGGGATATTGCAGCCACTTTGAAATGGGGTTCAGTAATGTTATAAACAATTAATCTTACCTGCTGTAGATAGCTCTGAACAATCTGTTAGGTTAAATTCTGGCTGGACTAATAAGCCAACAGCTAAGCCGAGCAGGGCCAAGATCAAAGTGGTTTGAGTCCATCTTAAAAACAACTACATTCACAAAAATATTTTATCGCAGTTCAACGCAAAGTATATTTTAAAAATCATTATGCTTTATGTTTTAAACTACACTTTTTTTCAACAGGAAGGTTAAGAAAGTTAAAGTTATGGTTTAAAGCTCTGTCACACAATAACATCTTACACAACTTATGCCAGTTTATGAAAAATTTATGTCTAAATAACTCATAAAGGTTAAATATTTGATCTAATCTAATTTCAGCGGTACTCTTTGGTCTTTCAGACTAGCTGTTAGCTGGTCGGTCATGTTGGTCCTAAACACCATTTCTCAACACATTCATTGTACACAACCTTCCCACAGAAACCCACAACAAAATGGTCTGAGTTTCCCTTTAAACTGCCCTCTAATCCTCAGATGGACTGGTCTTATCAAGCTATAACAAATACTGCTCCAAAGCTGCTCCAACATTTTACAGAAGAAATGCAACATAAATTCAGATTTTTTTAAAACAAAACAGCCAAACAACAAAAACAAAGCAGAGAGAGACATCTTTAACTAGAATTTAAATACAAAACATTTAGTTTTTTTAGTGTTTAACTAGTTGAAATCTTCTCCATGAGACAAAAACAACTCAGATCTACCAACTGGGCAGTCGTCGTCCAGTTTATTAGTTCTCTGCTGAATATTTTGTCAGAAATAATAAAACCTGCAGCTGCAGCCAGATGTTCAGACTGAAAAGGATTCAGGGGAGAAGTGAGGAGGTGACAACTTTCCCTGTTTTATTCTCAGGTAAATAACTAAAAATAGATTTATTCCACAGCAATGAAACACCTCATGTTGCTGAGGATTAAAAACAAACAGAACATTTATTTTAAAATATAACACATTCTAACTAAAGCAGCACCCTGACATGAGGTATCGACTTGTCGGCACTTCAGTTTCACAGCTCTGACGCTGCCAGTCTCAGACGGTTTGAAGCAGAACTTGGTGTACCTCTTAGTGCCGATGGCGTCGATCTCATCTATGAAGACGATGGAGGGGGCGTGCTCCTCTGCCACCCTGAAGAGCTCTCGCACCAGCTTGGGTCCGTCTCCGAGGTACTTCTGGATCAGCTCTGAGCCCACCACACGCARGAACGTGGCCGACGTCTGATTGGCTACAGCCTTGGCAAGCAGCGTCTTACCTGGAATAAATACAAACAGATTTTTAAATAATGCAGGACTATAAAATAAAGACTGGACATTGCTGCTTCTTTTGAGTTTTATTTACTCTTACTCGGGCAAATTCTCACATTTCTTAACCAGTTTTTACAGAAAAAGATTAGGGCCGATATTTTTTCCTGAGTTCTGACATTTTTCTCAGAATCCGGTCATTACACAATTTTTGTTCATTTTTTACATCCAAGTTTGATAGAAATTCAACTTCTGGAAAAAAAAAGAGAAATATACTGTTTGCTTTTACATAATAATGCTCATAATTACTTGGTTCAAGTCCACACAAGATTAATATTTTGTAATTATATTGTAACTCAGAGTAAAAATAAGCGTTTTATATAATAAAAAATGTTTTGTAGTTTTAAGGCCCTGTCACGCGATGACGTTTTAGACAACTTGTGCCAATTTTTTGCAACACGTTGCTGTAAGTTGCACAAGTTAGGTGTAAGTTGTGAATATGTTGTCAGAAGCCGATGTGCTGCTGACAAGTGAGGCATAAGTTACAGCTATGCTACAGATAATTTATGCATCACTTCACATTTGTTTCAGGTAAGTTCATTTGTTATTCAGAAGTAATATACAGCGGGTAAAATAAGTATTGAACATGTCAACATTTTTCTCAGTAAATATATTACTAGAGGTGCTAACGACATGAAATTTTCACCAGATGTCGGTAACAACCCAAATGATCCATACATACAAAGAAATCAAACCATAAATGTCCAGAAATGAAGTTCCATCCATCCATCCATCCATC